ATGATTTTTGTGTTCCTCTGTGAACTACACAAGAGAGAGTAACAAACCCCTGAGAGTCCTATTATTAGTTCTTCAACTAAAAAAATTTACGTGATCGTTCACCCAGCTTCTTTCAATCTCCAGCACTTCTGCACCATTCTAAACTAACTGTTTCCTGGTTGCCCGATAGGGTATGTCCAAGCTCAATTAAGAAAGAAACCCGTTGTGCAAATAAATGACCCAAGCATCCAGTAATCCTCGGATCAGTAAGCAAACAGTAGTGCGCAGTTTTTCAGCCTGTGTGTAGATTCTACCGCCGTTTCCAATTTTTTCAATGCACTCTTCGATCTTCAGAAGCAAGTCAGCTTGTAGTTTAAGCAACATTTGGATAAGGGTTGGTAGGCATTGGTTGACCGCTTGATGAGCCGACCAAATGGACCGGCACTACATTAAGAATAGAGGAGAGTGGGTTCCAAACTGGACGGTTGGGTGGGCTTCACCCCTAATCCCTTCAGTACTGCTTTAAACTTTTGATTCAAATTCTGAATTAATTACCTCGGTCGATGGGAAACTTCCACCATTATTTAACCATTAAGAGGACTATTCTTCGGCTGATCGGTCAGTTACAAACGTAAAAACGGAAGGGGTAGTGAAATTAATAACTTCTTAAAAGGCGGGATTTCCGAATTTTTAGTCATTCAAGACAATTTTTGTGAAGCTATTTTCAAATTTCTATGCAAAACCTGAGCACTACCTTACAGCCAAAACAGAGAGAAATGCCCCATGTTTTTCATCTGTTTTGGTAAAAGTTAACTATGATTTACCAGCATCTCAAAAACGTACTACTGACAGCGTATCAGAAGTCTACCAATCGGGAAGTTACAAAGAAGGATCACAAACACAAGGACCGCCAGCAGATCTCACAGTTAATCCACATGGGTAGGGATCTAAACTTGGCTGATCATACGCACTCCTTCTTCCCCTCAAATCTTCTATAAGCAGATTCTGAAGTCTCCTAACTGTGCACAAATTTAAGGATCCGGAGAGAAATCTTAATTTAAACTGCAGATACAAATGACTAGAGCCAAAAAATTAAGAGATAATTTGCATTACCAATGGTATTCCAGATAGGGGATTAACACATATCCCAACATTCCTTGCAAAAAACAAGAAGCTGAGATGTCGAAAGGGGAAGCAAACAACAAAGCAATATAATTTCACGGTTTGTTCGCATGACTTTCCTTATGCGATGAATAGGCTGTTTTTGCACTTCATCATAGAACCTAGCAATCACTGAGATGAAGAAGGGTAGTGCGTAGAACTGAATTACAGCAACCGATGACACGAATTTGTTCAAAGAGAACAGAATGGGCACAAATTAACTTCAGCATCTTTAATGAGAAATATATGGGTGCAAAGGAAGTAAAACGCCCTGTCAACTGGCTGTATCCACAACCAACAAAAATAAATGAGAAAATATGGAACCGTTTTAAAAGTAGTTGAAAACTTGTATTACCACGTGGTTACTCTGAGCAATTAGTTGGATTATTTTCGATACCATAGGACGAAATGACCGCTTACTTAACAGGAAATGTTTTACTAGTTTTTTTAGTACCTAAAATTTATTAGAGAAAGTGTGTTTAAAATAGTTGAGTCGCCAAGTGCTCACAAGACGGAGCGACAGCCACACTATGCCTTACTACCAATGCGGACCTCGTGACGGCGGCTGCCTAGAAAACCCAAGTCAATGGAGCATTTAGACGTCACACCCTAGCCGTTGCTCAACTGTAAATACACATCGCTTAGACTTGTAAGAGCATGACCAAAACATGGGCGCGTTGACCTCAGCCAAATACATTGGTCCCTCTCGAAGGCAGTGGTGGCAACAAAAAGTTGGAGGACGTACTTTAGAGGAGAAACGGTCAACCATGTGGCCCCAAAACACACGACCGAGGCAATTAAAGGCCGCACTGGTCGTGGCGATTGCCGAGAGGAATTGATCATCGAAGGCACTGCGAATTCCGTAGACCTGAAAAATGAAGACAGCGGTTTGATAAAACATTCTCTTTTGATGACTGATAAAAGGAGCCAAAATGGAAATGACCTTTACCTTGAAGGTTGAGGTAAGAAGGACAACCGGGATAATGTCACAGAAGGCGATTAGCCAAAGCAAGTAAAAGTCCACAGATCTCACTGCCTCGGAGACTGTGTGACTCCTCGGAGCCTTACGCACTTCCCTAACACACAGGGAAATTTGTAGAATCTATATTTGTTAGGTTATAGTTAATGCTGATCAATAAAGCACCCACTTTTTGACCTCTGCATTTGCAGTGCCGCTGGTCAAACTAATAGCAGTTTCATCAACATCCCTAAAATTAAAATAAAATATTTTTTGCGCAAAAAGGAAAATGAAGCGTGAAACATTCCTTCGCATTATAGCTCTTCATATTTTGTTCGCACATTTCAGTTTAGATAAGCTAAATTAACTATACACAGGCAGGCCACATATTAGTAGCACCTAAACTAATTGATTCTTAAAGGGAAAAGGAAATGCAAATGAGATAATTATCTGCCAAAATATCATGGAGTTTACTGTCAAATCCAAAATTAGCAACTTACTTCGTTGATGCTTTGACAGGAGAAGTTCTTTTCTGGTTTAATTATCAAAAGAGGTTAAGTTGGAACTGGCGCATCAAATAAATTAAATACTTCACATATTAAAGGGAAAACTACTCTTACAACTTACTTCTGGTTTTTGTCTCAACAAGATTGTGCCGACTAACTCTAGGGCAAGAACAATGCTGCCAAGGACTATAAAAGCAGTCGGAATTCCCTCTTCAACAGATGGCGGAAACTTACTGTCACAAAAAATGCAAACAGGTGGAGAAAAGCAATAACAGGAGATGGGTGTGAAAGTAGAAAAATGACATACGTCCCATTCACAGGAAGATTATTTGGGTTAATAATAGCAGTTTGGATCGGTGTAAAGACGAGAGCACCCAAGCCGAAGCCAGAAGAAATAATACCAACAACTGTGGCACGATGCTCGGGAAACCACTGGAAATGTAAAACATTAGGAATGTTATAAAAATAAAAGCAAAAGTGGACGTAATTCAACTAACCGACGACGCGACTGAGAAAATGACGGAATAAGGAAGTCCCATACCGATGCCATTGAGAATACAATAAGTTGTTATATAGGACCCAAGACCGTGATCAATGGTCAAGCGAGTCAGCAAAATACCACCTCTAATAATAAAAGGCAAACAAACTGACGAGTGACTTAGAGGAGACACGTTTAAAGCAAACAGGCTCGTTGACAAGTGTAACATACGCGCTAAAAACCATCGCAATAATAAGTACTGGCCTATATCCCACTTTAGTAGCCAACATTGCTCCAGTAGGCATAAAAATAGCTTGGAGCGCAAGAAGTGTGGATGAAAACCACGCGGCTTCACCTGATTTAATTCCCATGTACGAAACGACATAAGGAATCATATTTCCTGGATTCAAAAAGTATAACAATTTGCAATAACCTACCAACGGTATAGAAGTAACCGAGGGCAAGATGATACAAGAACCCTCCAAGCACACATAGGACACCCCAGATCGAAAACCTCATTTTAACCACCACGTTCACAGCCTACAAGCTGTTTGAATAACCACCAGCCTTGAGATAAACGAAAAAAGCACTGGCGCAATCAGTTAAAACATAGCGTAGGGAATTACAGTGATCAAGCATAAGAACAAATGTAAACATCAGATATTTTGGGTGGATCATATCCTTACTTTTGGAATCAGAACATAGTTTTTGTAATCACTATTTATAGTAACTAATTTATCTTTTTTCAGAGGTTCTCATTTATGATTTACGGATGCAAGACAAAATATTATGAAATTTAGCAGAGTTTGCTAATAGCGAGTATAAATTTTAGACAACAATGTTGAGGCAATGGCATCTAGCTTGAGTTCCGGGAAGACACCCCATTTGATGCGAAATTTAACAAGTAATATGCCTTATAGTGCGCCAAAATTTAAAAGAACTTCCATTTAGTGGTTCACATAAAGCTTTGATATGCTAGCACTATTAATTTGATAGAAATGCGATTCATTCATTGGTAGTTTTTTACTGCTTACCACAGTTTTTTGATAGCAGGATGCCTAATTTGGCGCCCTAATAGTTTTAATAAAATCAAGTAGATAGTGTTTGTTTTTCGGTCCGAGGCTCATTCCACGTAGTGAAGATAGTGATAGGGACTCAAAGAGGTGCATTCGACTGTTATGTGGCTTGCCATCAGGGCTGTAAGATACCTGATTTCAATGAATCCAGCATTACGTTCCTTTGGTTAGCTACAATGTTGGAATACAGTGCTTTTGGGCAGTTTAAAATTGGTTGCTGTTCCTCAGTAAATGCAATTTAAATGCTTGTTACTAGTGGTAGGATTATTTGCTTAAAAGCTGTGTTACCTCATTAAGAAAAGACATTTAAGGAAGCTCTGCATAACTGCCTTCACTATTCGTTCTGTCTTGACGCTTGCCTCATTTATTGGTGGTCAGCTACATATCTAAACCAATTTCGAGTTCTTGCAAGTTGAGGAGGTGAAATTGTGCATAAAAATACTGAAAACCACTCCACAGCTATTAATTTTAACCAATTAAACATGGTATCTCTTCAATCCCTGTGGGATATAGTTCAAGAAATATGAATGCGGCTCCGATAGTCCTTCAGTTTTAGCGTACCATAGATTTGGTCATTTTTATCGAGCGTCTTCTTTTTGTTGGGCTAAGACCTTTAACTGCTAAAGTTCATTACAATAGTGCTGAATGCTGTACAGTCCTGCATCAAACTTTATTCATGTGTACAGGGGGGAGCTAGTGGTTTGTTGACGGAAATTCCACTAAGTGAAAACAATGGCACCAAGTTGCCGACCAAAACTGCGGCTAGTGAAGAGTCATTAACGTAAATATATTAACATAATGTTTATCATCGTACATTTATAAACATCGCTGAACCTAGTAATTTTTCCAGAGTTTGTTTATGTGCGCACGATTTTATTTGGTATCTCATTTTGCATTATACTTCCAAAGGGACATTTTAGCCAGACGCTTTTGTTTTAATAAAAAAATAATAATATTGAGTGACTAGGTGAGTTGTTGTGGTTTCCATTATGGCCCAATTTTGGACTTGCTGCAACTTGGATGGGCTTGTAAACTACTTGGTACTGTTTGTGTGCAAGAAAAATAAAGCATAGATGAAGTGCGTCGACCTGTCGGTACAGTATTCGCTATTGCACCCTCTAACCTTTCCCACATCATCGGATGTGTTCCACCACTTTGGGAAGGTAAAGTATCAGGACGCGCTATTTATGTAGGGGTTAGACCGGTTCTGGTAATTAATCACTCAACGATTAATGCATTGTGTTGAGCGGTGTCCCTTATCCTTGATGAAGAATAATCGCGAGCGATACCGATGGAAAGAATTTGAGATTAATATACCAAAGACGGCTTTCAGTGCCGATGATGATACAAACCGCTTATTAGTCCATCAGTAGGAAGAGTCATGGTTGATGCAAAGCAAACGTGCCCCACCCTGGTGTGTTTACAAATGACAATAGGCGCTAATATCTAACAATTTGCTCTTCTTCAGTTCGTTCGTGTACGTTATAAAAGCGCACCGTTTTCAGATGCTCTACTAAAGGCCTTGTGATAAGGAGCGACTAACGTATTCCGACATTTGGTATGTGCATGGACATAACCTTCGTTTTAGCCAAAAGGTCCTCTGAGCTGCCCCTCCCCCCATTTGCATCACAGGAGCTGCTTTATCCAAAAATGAATATAGCTACCTTGTGTGTGCGCGGATGTGATGGACTGCAAGCGAAATTGTTTAGAGGGATTCTCTCACCTATTGAAGGCCGCACAATTTAGACCGAGACTCATCCCTTGGCTGCAGTACACTCGACCCTCTTCTTACGAGACAACAAAGGGCCTCATGCTTTACGGCATACTACATAAGAAGACTTCGTGTGGCACCTCCAGGTGGGGAAACGGTACCGCCTAACCCTTATTCTTCGCATTCCCCTTGTGTTTTTCTACTTCGCAGGTAATCATGCTATTATATGCGAAATAAACAGTTGGTAAATAAAGGTGCGATCAAAACGGTGGCGAGTACATGCAAAGTAATTTGTGAAAGTGAGGTTCACACCAGGATCGAGACTAGTAATTGTGGTGAATATTATAAGGAATAGAATAAGCCACGACGGCCTTTCGTGGTTACATAATTTGATCATGAGAAGACTTGTAACCACGCAAAAACTACCCGTAAAATAGTTCCATTTCACGGTAAACAATTATTAGGGAAATGCAGTTGGCTAATCTACGTATTCCTGTGCCTTCATGCTGACATTTTCAGAATGTCGAGTGTGCTATACGAACGGAAACTAACATTTTGCAAAACAAATATAAATAAGACTTATGAAGAGCACGGGAACGTTTCAAAGAGTCTTTTTATAATTAAAGCTGAAATTTAATGAAGGAGTTTGTGAATAGTCTTAGCCCTTAAAGTGACTCATTTAAGCGCAAAACTTAAGAGCAAGCAAAATGTAAGAAAGTTTGCTCTACTAGTTATCTATTACAGACTTTTTGTAAGCGATGATTATTTGAACATGCAAACACTCAGGTGGTCCGACAGGTGATTAGGCAAAAGTGGAATGGGCCCCAACTTACCCGACCTTGAATAATTTATCTGAATTGGCTATTTACAACAAAATTTTTCCTTTGGTTTGTTTTACTCATTTACTTTCAACTCAAAGACAAATTTCATGGTGTTCTGTGGAGGAGGATAATCTCAAGGCGTGGGTGAGACAAAGGGAGACAGAGACGATGTAATGCAATGGGAATTGTTTTATGTCTGCAGGCTATCACGCGAACCTTTTTCGCCTTTTTACATTTTGGCCTCCTTGATAGAAGTGTGCATCTTCTTTCACATTTCTAACTGTTCAGCCCTTTCATAAATTGATAGCACAGCCACACCCGACCTCACACACCTCATAAAGCCTAAAAAATGTAGTAAACGGGTAACACATCAAACAATATTGCTTGACATTTACCGACATTTGAATTAAGAAAATGGCAGAAGAACTCGCCAGTAGGCGAAAATAAGCTGTTATATTTAGTAACTTCGGGGGATGAGAAAATGAACAGTTGGAGGTAGTTAAAATAAATATCCTATATATTTAAAGGGTCTCCGCAAAAAATTGCTCAAAGAGTTATTGCTTGCTATAGAAAACGACATTTATCACGTTGCATGAGTATTGTCGCAAATTCGGACTGGCCTGACTTCCAATTTACCGCCCTCGCATCTGACATTTAGGGCGCGTTCACCATTGGCCACTAGATACGTATGCTAATGCCTGTAACGCACAGCGGCATGGCCGAGAGGTGACTGGATAGGCCCGACCAAGGTCACTGCCTCGTGCACATCATTGTTCAACCAGTCAGATTCAGACTTACACGGTCAGCCAGCCCATTGGAAGGGGGAGAGTGGGTGGATCAAGTAAGAACCAAAACAACACCAACTCCTCTCGGATTTAGAGCCCACATTTTTCGAAAAGACGGACTTATAAATTTGGGAGAGAGCGACAAGAGGAGATATCCAAAAGGGCCACTTTCAGTTCAGTTCTGCGCCGGCGGTAATTTTGACCAATTGTAAGCACTTATGCGTCGATTTTGATTGGCTGAAACGTTTGCTACTGTATTTCTAATATTTTTTATTATCAGCGCTTTTCACAAGTTTTTCAAATCTTGTTAAATTTAAATTTAGAAAGCATATTTTGCTTTTCTTGGATTTTTAGTGGACAGTGGCATAAGAACACGAATATCTGTTATCTTTAAAATCTTTGTGTTTATTATACCTACGCTTAAGTTACTTTTTTGCCCAAACGTTTGTAACTATGTCGTTTTCATAATTTACAATACAGGCACACAATTTTTCACCGCCGAATATATTGTACAATTTCGGATTGAATGATTTCCACAAAGAGCTTCTCAACACTTCACTTCCTCACTGATTCCTTTTGCCAAAATGGATTTGCGACAGATCCCTCTCAGCTGACAGCTTAACTGATCAAATAAGGTGGAAAAGAAATGAATTAGGGTGCCAAAATTTGAAAATACTTCTCGCTTCTTTATTTTTTCACAAATCTTTTATTGCACACTTTGTTAACATTAATTAAATAAATCCGCGAGTTCAAACGAAACAATAAACAAATCAGAAAATGAGCTGCAAATATTAACGTTGGATATCCACCGATGTTTAAATAAACCCATTTTTACATCACTCTAACACGTTCTCTGAGTTAGGGTTTTTTAGGGAACGGAATCAATGAGCATTTCTTTTTTGCAAGAATGAAAGTCCTGTTTATTTTGTTGAGTTCAACTAAGCTTTTACGTCCTCAAAATCAGTCGCACTCAATACTCGAGGTCATTTTAGTGTCAAAATAGGAAATCAAATAAGGGATGCTGAAGAATATTTTCTCTGTCAGAAGGTTAAACTGGTATTTTGCAGTTGTGCAGTGGCTTTCACGCAAGAAGAAAATTGGCTGTTCACCAAAGTGTTTTCTACATTCGGAATTTCGCGAAGAATCTCTGCAGCGATACACTGCATAAACCCCCTCTATTGCATACCAAGTTATGGGAGACGCATTGCATGAGGCAGAAAAGATTTCCAGGTTGTGGAATACAATCATCACCTTGTTTTCTTTTCTTATTAATGGAAGCACTTCGGCTTTAATCACTTGCTGCAAAATTAGGCATGGTGAATTAGAATCCGGTGGATCTGTATTTTGATGAATACTTTTATTTATTACCAAAGACGTAGTCTATTAAGGGTAGTGCCTGAGAATGTGAAATTTATTTAGGATAGAATGCGTAACACCAACTATCTTTGTCAATGAACTTATGAGTTTTGAATTATAGTGGAACGTTAAAGTTCTTTAAGGTACATAGCAGGGAGTACCTGCTCATGTTTATATACGGTGGGAGGGTGTGTTTAGGTCATGTGGATAATTTGGACTAATCACCTGTCTACGGACATGTTTTGGAAAGGTCATGTTTGTGAAAAAACCCAGGTGAAAGCACTCGGCATATGTTTGGGTGTTAATGGATCAGTGAACAGACAAATGTTGAAATGCATTGCGTGGACTTTGTTTCGTTTCATTTGCCTCCACTGTATAAAAACCGTAAGCTGAGCTCAGTGTAGGTTTCGTAACATAAAGCAGAGTAGTTTTGTGCAATTTTTTAAATTGACTAACGGATCTTTTGAAGGTATAATGTTATTCCTGCTAGTTTGGATGGGCAACATGACCCACCTCACAGTTAGCCGTATACACCAAACGGTTATTCGCGGCATGGTCACATACATGCGATTTTTTTAGCAGAGTCCAATGTCGCGAGTACGCGACAAATGCGCCATACCACTTTCGGTAGCTGACTGAACCGGCTCTTGTCGCAAAGAGATTGGTTGAGTTTAAGAAGCCAAAGTAGGTGTAGTGGCCCCCGTTTGAGAAGTAACAACACACTTTTCCCTGTTTTTACAGCAGCAGTTGATTCTGTCAAAACAGAATAAGACAGTCGCTTTTTAGTTATAAAATAAACCATTTGGGGCATATTAGCCAATTTTCCCCAAAATTTTTGCTACCAGAAGTGTTAGATACAATTAAGGTGATTAGCTTAATGCAATCACCAAGTAATTTACTGTCTTGATGAAAAGTTTTCTTTTTGGAGCAGTTTCTCACCACTTCGATCACATTAGTTGCATTTCGTTGGCTACTTAACCGTTAACCTGCAAAAACCACTTCTCAAGCCCACTATCTCGGAACGAATGCCCCAACCTCGGTTGCGACTTTACCTATCGCCTGATGTCAAGTAAACATTGTACCTGAAGGAACGTACACATTCCATAGTTAATACTTACACGATTTCCACACTCCCCCATTACATAGGAGATGAATCAAAGTGAATGTCATATTAGCACAAAATGTTAATTCAAATGGTGGGAGTTTAGCATTAATTCTTCCAGGGATATTATCCTCCGTTTCTGCAATTGATCGCTACTTTTGCTTTTATACAGTTTAAAAAGAACAAATTTAAAGGAGTGAAATATGTACTTTGGCTAGACTCTTCGACTGCAGTAAAGTACGTAGAAAAGATTTGGTGTTTCACTTTACCTTTGGTTTCTGAATCCACAGCCCCGAAATAATATACGCCATTTATGTTGCCTAATACCAACAGTGATGGGATAAACATTTGTCACTTACTACTGGGTGTGGTGCTGCCACGGTAGCATCATTCGCAATAAGCGGTGGATTAAAGTCTTGGCTGGACTTGGACACTGGATATAGTCACCTATCGTGACCTTTTGCTGTCCTGCAACTATAAAATCGTGAACTTTTCAAGTATGCAATGTTTTTTTTTTTAGAAAAAAACGTCTCCATGGCAGAAAGCCCGAAATGTAAATCTATTTATTAACCGGTTTTCCTTCTTCCATTACAATACCGTTTCACAATAAGTTGAGACGCACTGTGACTACCGAAAGAGTAAAATCTAAGCAACCGCTTTGTTGTGTAAAGGGTAAGGAACTAAGCCAAAAGTTACTACATCACGTGATCCGTAGTACGGTGCAATTTACTCCCAGCAGACAATTTCTTTGGTTTGGAACTCCACCCTTCCGAATTATTTCAAAGGATTTTCTAATACACTTTTCATCAATAAGTTAACTACACATAAGAACAACGTGTATTTTAAGGAGGAAGACAATAGACGTCGCTGAAAAAATAAACTTTTTCATCGTTGCATACATATAATTCGTTTCAAATGCAAAATACATATATCCTCCTACCTTATCTCATCAAAATTTGTGATTTTTCGGTCATGCTATGGGAGGCAATAAAATAGTATTCCTTCAGATAATAAAAAGAAAAACTAATTTAGCTAAAATAACGTTTGCACATCAGTAAATTAAAAGCATTTTTATTCACAGGAAACGTTTTACAGCTGCCTAAAGAAATGTAACATTTATAAATGACTTTTTGATGTGATGATAACAGTAACTATCAAAAGATTGTTAAATACATTTATTTCCGGCAACCATTAATGTATTTATTCAATTACGAAGTTGAAGAAACGAATTTTGCCGGTTGGTCTTGTTCAAGGTGATCGTAAATAAAGTGGCAGACGTAAGAGGATTCTTGGTATTATGGAAATACCTATTAATGAAAACCTTCAGACGCCAAAAACTCGATAGCTTAAATTGGTTAAGTCAGGAGATCCAGGAGGCCATTTTGGAAGTAATCCCCTGTGAAAGTTCAAATATGAGTCTTAAAGGCTGAATGAGAATAATAAGAGCTCCATTGAAAAGCCAATTGCTTCTTGTAATACGTGTCACAATAGAGAAGATTTATATGTTATAAGGGTACAGTGGCATTTGGTCTACCAAAATTGCCACCAATTAAAAGGTTAAAGATATAATTGTTCATCGATAAGGAATGTTCTACAAATATGTTAGTACTTTCAGATCAACCAATGTGTTTGGCCAATTATTACAAAGTCTCTCACTGGACGTCACATATGTGTGACGCCAGTGGCAAAATTGTAAGGCAGCTCTGCTAATATAGAGTTTGACAATAGACTAGAATTTATAGGTGTAAATTGTGCCGCTGATGCCAAAATCTTTCCGAAAAGTGAGGAAGTACGATGTTCACAACTTCAGTGGCATTCATACAGTATAACCAGTCTGCTAAAATCCCAACGAAAGTTCTAAACACGGGATTTAGGATAACGTTTCCGACTAGTACAATTTTAAAAAACGTAAACAATGTTTTCAGAGCAGCAGGAATCTGTGTTTCTTTGGATGAAATAGTACCTTATATTAAAAAATTTCGTTGAACTTAATTTCCATGCCTTATTGCAGGAAGGCATAATTAATTTTCGGCATTTTTTAAAGAAGAACCAAAATCCTAAGTTCTTGATTAGCAAACAGTAAGGCACGAAGTAGTAACTTCATTCCACCATGTTAAAAGCGCGTCCAAGGTAGGATTTGAATCTAGGCTGTGCTTTTTGGTATGACCTAGAAAATGAGCAATAAAAAATATTTTCTACTTCAATTGTGATTGCATCTATAGTTGATTTCTGCAAATCAAATGAATTTACGGGAGATTTTGGCCAGAAGTTTAGAAAAATTCCACATATCAAAAAGGGCACGAAGCTTTTTATAGCACCTAGTCATTACTCTGGAGGAGAGGGTAAAGTTAAATTGCTAATTTGAGAGGTTTTTTGGGGTAAATAATTGTCAACTAGTGCGGCATATGAAGGTGTCTGAATTGTAGGCAAAGTGTAACATTTCATGACATTCTGGGGCTGCGGTAAAAGACAAACGGGATAAGTGTCATCATTGAAGGAGCAATTCCAAATTACGCACCGACATCGACATGCATGTTACTGTAGTATTTTTAGCCACCGAATCCTCCCTCCTCTGATCACATGACAGCCCCCTAGGCGAAAAAAATAGGTTACGCAATTTTGGCAAAGGGAGACGCCACAACTATAATAGGACCTATTCACTTCTTGTTTCAAAAGGGCAGCATATGATTGGGCAGATTTTGAGGTCAAGATGGGTGATTATGGCACATTTTAGAATGTGAAAATTTAAGAAATTTTAATTGTTGCAATGAGTTGCTTGTTACATTAAAGTCGCGGTTCTCCATATAAATGTTAACTATTTCAGATGGGTAACATTGGAAATAACCCATTGCGACTTCCATTCTTATTAAATGTTAGTGAGTAAGTCCCACTGACTAAGGGTTACTTCCAGCTTACTTTTGATCTTTTGATATTCTTTGTTGTTTTTTAGGAAAATACAGACTTCTCATTTAGCGCAAATGTTTAAAACATATTTATAAGTAAACACACATCTTCGTTCATTTCAGCTAAAGAAATGAACACAATGCTTTATCAGATTTTGAGGTCAACTAAAACAATGGATTTAAGGGTTCCAAATGTAGGGAAATTTCATGGAACGATAAGTCAAATCTGAAAAAAAGTAGATTTTATTATATTTGCTAAATATTTTGCCACTAATTTATTTTTTCAAACTTCTCGTTGAGAGAAATTTGTCATTTTCAGATTATTTTTCTCCCTAAAATTAAACAGTCGACACTCAGACATAACAGGGAATTGTATATCGTAGATAGATTGTTAACTGCAATTGCATTGATCTTGAGGCTCATTTAAATACTGGTCTGGCCAAAAGAAAACAATCTGAGCAGTCCACTTGCACCTTGTTTTCCAAGAATTCTAGACATAGTGCTTACAAATTGTTGCCTTTGACTTGCACACCCCATGATATTTGTGAAATAAAAGTACCTACTTACTAGTATCAGCACGCAATTCTATTACTAGAGAAATCTGTTTCACTCTCGGATGGACTGGTCGCAGTTTGCAGATCCGCAAATTCTCCTCGGCATGGGAGTATTCGCTTTCGGCGTCATTAATGCTTACATGCTTCGTAGACAAAATCATCGGTTGGCAGCAGACGCAGTAGCACATACGGGAGAACAAGGGCCAGAAATCGTGGAACAATCAGATGTTCGGCAGAGTACAAGCGCCACAGAATCCTCCAATGTTATTTGCCAGATCAATCAAAAGGAAGAAGGAGAGGGATTAGAAGCAACTGATGAGACTCCAACAAGGAGTGCAGGTACAGAAGGTAGGAAAGATTATGAAAGTGATTTCTTTATTTTTGAAAGTTATATTATAATCCCCATCTCATAGTCATCGCAAGAATTTATTTTTAAAAGGAAATTCGTGCAACTTTAGGCGTCATTTATGTCAACTTCAGTGATAAACACCTGATCTTGCCTTGGGAATAATAGGCGATAACAAAGTCCGAAAGTATGCGTGAAGATAAAGCGTTAAATTTAGGGGGAAATCCAAACAATTGTGAACACCTTCTTAATGCACTACTTTCGTCTTAATGATCCTCATTAAAATTTTTCACTCTTCCCCAGAGGAACGCAGACTAGTCTATTTTACTCTTATAAAGTGCCTCGTTTCAAAATCCAGAAATCTGGCTCCAGTCATTACCATTTCTTTCGCACTCTCTTTTTCCAGTTGGCCATTTCGCATGCGACTGTCTAGTGCCAGGAAAGGATGGTAATCACTTATTAAGCATTTGAGGAATGTGGGAAGTGAGGGTGGGATTGTACTGCTTTTCCACATATTCTAACTTACAAAGGGTTTTATGGGCGAATTCGTGGTTGTGTGAATGCTTTCGTCGTCTTCAAGTAACATGACTTTCTTCCGACTACTTCGTTAGGCTTAAATGCATCTTACGCGGAAGTCTTCTCATGCAGATCCTGCTTGCATTGGATTTCGGTCATGCTTTAGTGGCCTTCAGCAAGAAAACCAAGCACAATAATAAGTTCCTTCTGAAATCCGACACACACAGTATGTAGTCTTCCGGGGAGAAAGTGTTGCCTTAGAGGTGTGGGATTTTAAGTAGATTGTCTGCAGACAAGTAATAATGTGTTCGTCAGCTCAACCTAACTATACATTGGCTATTTTCTACAAATCGGTTAGTAAACCAACTGTACCTTCTTATAACCAAAGGAAATAAAGTTACCATCTAATTGAGCTTTTTAAACTCATTTTTATCTGTTAATGCATGAGAGCAGAAACTATTTGCAAATCTTCATCAACGATGATCTCCGTTGATTTCTTTACTGTCACTTGGTGCGCTTAAAGGATTAGTAAATATTTAAAAATTGGTTAGATTATTTGCTCTAACGGTACACATAAAGTAGGCTCTTGGTCGACCATCGAACCACGTCAAAATCGTACAAGAAAAATGCGACACATTAAACAGGGTCACCGAAGTCTTTTACGAAGTGACGCGTTGTGTTGCGCACTTCACGCGGGGTCAGACGACTTTGGCCTCCTCCCCCCTTAGCAAACAAATCGCGGACGGGACGGTCAGCTGGCTTACTCTGCCGCAATACAGCCACCACCCCATCCCCTCTGTGATTGGCCACTCATTAGCGGCTCTCTGATTGGTGCTCCTTCCCCGTTCAAAACTAATGGGCAGCTGGCACACATGTACACACAGATTAACGTAAATTCAGTCCTCCCCATCATTTCCGAAACCCCGAAGATCTAATGAAGAGGAGTGCCAGTCAGGAGCCGGGAAGATCCCCCTCTACTACTTCTCATAATAGCCAAGGGATTAGCAGAGCGCGTCGAAAGAGTAGCTCTCTTTCCAGCAGCTTTCGAAGATTTTTTCGCAATCGCAGTACCTCTAAAATACGTGACTCTTTTTCCCCCACCTCTTCAAATTCCAAATCTACCAAAATGAATCAACGCAACTGTCCTCGCTTGTGCAAATCTCTCTCCACATTCTTCATCAACTGTTGTCAATGCTGCTCCTGTTGCAATGGATGGGGTAATACTACGGATTCTCCACCTTATGCTGACGAATTCCGCCATCATCGCCAATCTTGGCGGTGCTTATGCTGTTACTGTGGACCATGGAAAAAAGGAGATCGAGTTTCAGCGTCAGAACCTCAACTGTCACCACCACCGCCGACTGTACTTCCTTCAATGAGGGTTCGATTCGAGAATCAGGTTTTCGAGATGGAGGGAAATGATCATATTTCTCGACGGAGAGTAATGGGTGCAAGATTCAGAGATGAGGTGGATGCGAAGATTATGGGTGCCAGTCGAGATGATCCGGTGATGATCGAAAGGAAGCTTAATGAAGGCGACGTCCAGAAGGGGAAGGAAGAGGACGAACTGAGTGATTCTTCTGACACTTTCACGATTGAACCAAATTTGGTAAGAAGTCAAAGTTACTGAGCAGTTCTTTTATATCAACTTTGCCCCAATATCATGAAATCATTCCATGAATAGGTTTCTAAATATTTTATTTCCACAAAAATACTGTCTTCCTCCAACACATTGTGTTCTCTTGTCCACTAATAGCAATACCTTTTTAGCGTCGATTATGTACGGCCTCGCCTATAAGCTGTTGAATATACCTTGATCATGCAGGCTGACAGTCAAGTGCAAATGCTTTTTTGTATTTTGACACATTCCATCCACTAAACTGTCAGCGCAGGACGTTTTGATTTGTAGCGTGTTCATTTTGAACAGAAGTAGGAATTATCTTTTTGTCCTTGATCCTGTTTAAGTAAAAACATGTGGTGGTAACTGCTACCAAATTTTGAAGACTTATTTGCCTTAATTCACGTTCTCTTCCACAAGCCAGTGTAATTTGACTTACCTAAACGTTCACTTTCGTGAATGTCTTAGTACTTCGACCAAATTTTCAGAAAAGTTTTTTCGCGAATCCTACAAACCGAATAAGTATGTTCAAATTCTCACAAAATATTGAAGCAAATTTGTTTCCAAATCTACTATTTACAATGGGTACACAAATGACATTTGCGATTCTTTTTTATCCAATTTCCAGCGGTTTGCTCGCCAATTGCCTAAATAATCTCGGCTGATCAAACGACTTTGGAATAAGTAACTCATTACTAACTAAAACATTACTCCGTTGATAAACAAATACTCTTATTTGATGGACTGTCAATCAAATCTGCCAACACCAGGAATTTGTACAGGCATTCAAGGTCAACTTTAAGGTTCTACTAAAGTCCATCTATATAAAGCTAGATCCTGCCTGATTTTAGAAAATTACAGAATAATAATATCACACTTTCTGCCTGGTGTTTGACCCAAGACGTCATATTATTACCTCCTGAGGATATGTCGCTAGCGCAAGTTGGCTAGCTTCTCATTGGATCCTTAAAATGACACATTAGTAATATGTACTTTTTCCCCTCCACCGACTAATATCCTAACAGTTTCTAATCAGTAAGAATTTACTTCGATTTTTTACTTGATGGCTCTACACTTGACATTAGAGATTGGAGCTAGCCAAAGAAGACGCATAAATGGAGGCTAAATAAGACTAAGTAGATGAAATTATTTCTTTTCAGAGTGTACTTCTAATTTTACTGTCTTTACTGTTCCTGGAGAACAAAAGGAACCTTATTTAGCCACTCATAACTCTGCTAGCATGCAGAGTTAGGACTTACTGCCCATATGGGAGATTTGCACATGGTCATCCCATGTTGTGACAAATATCTGGTGTCACATGGCTACCCATGAAAAAGGGAAATCTATTCACATGAGGGCAGCACAGCTTTATTTCACTTGTTATTAAACCTCTGCATATGACAGTGTGAATACGTGTCTGTGCTAGACCGAGGGACGAAATGATGGGTGTCGGTTGCATGAAGTTTAATTGCAGAACTTGATCACAGCAAAGAGGGCAGCAGAAGCTGAATGCACCTAGGTATAATTTTAACAAATGCATGGATAGGATTTGGCACTTTCCACAAAAATAATTTGCCCATCAAAACCATCTAATTTAGTACAATTAAGAAGAGGAAAAGTTGGTTTATTTGAAAAGACGTGATGCTACTCTAGTAAAATTAAACATTGACACAATAAATTAAAGTGTAATACCTTGAAAATTTGCTAGAGTTAGGGTTTTGACTGTTTTTTCAATTTCTTGGCACACAATTAGCCTAGTGGTATACCTACTTACTTAAAGGTTTCCCTCATACTGTCTTCTATATATTGTCAATTTTAGGAATAAAGGTCATAGTGCAAAAGCTTTATTACAGATCTTTTTGTAATGCTCCTCCCCATAAGATACCAGGTTGAGAGGTACAAAGATTTTTAAATCCGTTTATCACTAAGCTCGATGTTTCGAAGATCCATTGAATGTAATTGTTTACATAACAATTAAACATTAACAAGGCGATCGTAAATTAGACAAGGAATGTTATTACACACACATGAAAATATTTGAAACAAATATCTCTTCTTTTTACGAAATATTTTTAAAAATTGGTATAAACAAGTAGTATTTGAAGTCATGTCACATCATCTGTAACACAATAAAATGGATTTTGCTTGCAGTAAAAGTCGGTAGACGATTTTCCCCGGATATTGCTGTACAGATTCATCAAATATTTAAACTAAAACTTAGAATTTGCAGTATATTTACACGGTTTATGAAGACTCTATGGAGAATTAGTAATGAAGTAAACCTGTTCAACATTTGTACATCTGGTTGATGCGCACATCAACAATTATTGTTAACACACGGCACTGTTGCCTCGATTCTTGCGATCCCTTTCCTTAAAATTAAAATGTGAAATAAAACAAAGCATTGGATCTGCGAAGCAGGCTGACGACCGGGCTTGATAACGAGGTGCTCAAAGGGCGGCTTTGGAGTAAACATAAGCGTCACCCCTCTTCTTGAGAGTTTCCAATCTCTTTTAAACCGAATTCGCTCTAAGAACCGGTTCCTATAACAGGTTATGAATAGGAAAATATAGAGTTTGACACAATTTCAAAGCATTTCTCTGATTCCTACTTTAGCAATCAAACTGACAAGCGGCTCAATAGAGGTGGAAACAAGTATCGATGTTGGGCAGGATCGTTGTATTAGATGACACTTTAACAGTTCTGCATCGCCTAGGTATAGCGTTATTTTTGAGATACGAGTTAATTACGCTTGAGACCAATACATAACTAAGATAGTAAATAGCCCCAAGTAGAATGGACAAATTTGGGCCGATGGTTTCCTATTTAGGGAGCCAAGAAATCAATGCTTAGGAAACATTACCGCTTTGCTCGTTTAAAACGTAGGAAATATTAACGAAATCATTATTTTTCGGCGATATTAGCTTCGTAACTTTTCCATCAACATTAGATGAAAACAACTCTTCGTTCATGTTCTTACCTATTATATAATCCATATTTAGACAAAGTTTAAAACAATTGCTATCAAGTATGCACTGATTAAAGAATGAAATTTTGCAGGGCTCAAAGGCAAAGTGGAATCTGAATTTGGTGATGTCCTGATTGATGACATTATTTGCCCATCGTGTACGGAAAGGGGAACCTCTTCCCTTTTAAACACGAATTCCATCGCTCGAAATCGCTGAAATAAATAAAAAGTCACCCTTTTACCAGAGTTATAAATAGTGCAGAAAATGCACAACTTTTGCGCGAAGCTTTTTCATTCAGGATAATTAGGCATTTTTTTAAATTTCATAAATTCAGAGGTTTAGACTTGTCATAAATGTCCTTATTACCACTTGGAAATCATGCAGGATAAGTACTAACACTTTATCATTTATTCACTATGATGACACAGAATGATTTTTTTAGTCAAGAAGTGCAATTATGGAGATTCAATACAGCAGTAATTGGTAGATAGCTGAAAGGTCTTAGCTCTTAAATTCTACTTGTAAAAAACTTTAAGAAGCAAAGGCTGCATTTATCTTCGACACTTACACAACGGTCAGCGCATTTAATTAATATCCCAAAGGCTTTTACAAGAAATGGATTGTTAATCGGGTCCAGTCACGCTATTTCAAATCGCCGGCCAAGTCTTTTGTATCTGTAGACATCAAGGATGTCTTGGTATCCAGCAAATGTTTTCGAATATTTGTGGACACTGGTGCCTCAGAAGAATCAGCTCCATGAACGATTTTTTAGTAGATTATAAGCTGAATGTTCACTGAAATAAAATCATCACTGCCGGGATCGTCGAGTCGTATTTTAATCATTTACATCATTTAAAGCCCTGCTGTAAAGCAGCTGCGTTAGTACCACATGCTCTTGCATGCATTTTACTGCCGCATTTTTCTACAATCTGGATTGATGGTGTGTGGACTGGTACATTTCACTAGTAGTATTAAGTCCCAGCTTGAACTTCACGTATGGAAAGGCCGAATTGTGGTGATTACAGTAGTTCCCTACTACATGATCTATCAACATTTAGTTCACTTAAAAATTCCTATCCCATTCAGTCTCTTAGAAAAGAATGCACAAGAAAAATTGCATACAAGCACGACTTTACGGTTGTTTCTTTTGGATTATATGGGAGAATCTTCCTCTAAATTTCCAACTGCTTAAATATAGACTGCTACATTTGTTACTTTGTATCAAATAACCGAAAAATAGTCTATCTGACCAATGCAAAAGCAATCATTAACTGTTAGAAGAAAAATAACCAAACGGAGTCTAGCGCAATAATGCCTGCTTTGAGAGTGCAGCCGACTGGCAATCGGGTGACGTGAACACAAATGTGTGAAGTTTGGCTGCTACCGACTGGTCAAATCGCTATGCAAAATGGGGGCATTAGTCAACAGTTTGTCTGGTTTGTCAAGGGTGCATCGACAGCATTGTCTTAGACAAAGCTTTTCACTGAATCGAAAGATTTGAAAGTACGCATCTATTGATCGATGTTTTTTGTAAATCTGCATAAAAGTAACATTTTTAAAAGCAAAATTATCATATTGGCTGAGCTAAAATAACACGACAAATGAAGGATCCTCCTTATGTATGGCCTTTCACCATATATCATTATACTTGCGGACTGACTTTAGGAGCCACTTTTCCTCAGAGGCTCCTATGGAATAAATATTCACGTCTTCATGGACGCGCCCTCTTTCTTCTAAACTGCATAACACGAACAACAAGAAACCTCCACTCATAAATTGCGTGAATGAGTGAAATCTTGAGGCTCCATTTGGACAGATGGATTGGTCTAGAAATGCCAGATCTTTCCTACGACGGCATTGAAGAGCAAAGGATCAAAAGCTGCATTACACCACCAAGACCACCTAAATGTGCTGCCAATGAGTCAAGCACATACTACTTGCGTATCCTCTTTGAGTGTTATAATGCAACGAACTGCTGAGTCATATGTGTACTGTGGTCATGGAAAATGCATTAAAGATGTCCACAATGCTGTTGTCAAGTGATTGCAGTTCTAAATAGGATGATTCCGTTGAGGACTGCACCTACCTCTGACCAGGTTTCGAAAAGACTCTTCGAAGTGTCGAAGGCGTCGGTATTGAGAGAGAAATGACTAGCTTGCCTTCGATGTTGAATGGAACATCGTTTTAAGATGCCTTTATCTCCATAGGAGGGGCTGCAATGGAAGATGTAGTGTGTCCTTAATAGTTACCAAATGATAACCCAAGACCTGTGTTATGGATAAGGAGAACCTTTGAAGAATCTCCAGCACTGCCAATAAACTAACCTTTACCTTATAGCAATAAGATATTTGAAAGCAGTTGAATACTTAAAGTTAAACTTCTTACTGGTTTATTGCTTTATAATAGTGAAGTCAGCCAAAAATCGGCCTTCATATGTTTCTCGGTTCACTGCCAGCGTCAAAAATGTGTGATGAAAAGATTTACTTACTTTAACCTACACGTCACACGCGTTTGGCAATCACTTAAAAGGCAAATAATTAGTTGGAAGAGCAAAAAACACAGAAAAGAAAGGCATTGCCATACCAAAATATGGCAGCAAATTTTCCTCTGCGACAGCCCCTGGCGATATCGAACAAGTTTATAACGCCATTGCTGGTTATTTTTAATTAGAACAAACTGGTCCTTT